TAATCCATCTCCACCACGGCAAAAGAAAAAGTATCTGTACTGAACAGGGGTAGACCTCTTTCCTTGTCATTATCCCCAATCATACAGTGCGACAATCACTTACCTTGTATTAAATCACAATGCAAGTGGCATTCCTTACAATTGTATTGATTACAATTAAACTGCATCGTATTAGAATCCAGAGACAATCAAATGAACAGGAGGATGTTGCTTGGTTCTGTGTAAATATGACCCCTGCTGATTTGGCTATGAGGGCAGGAAGGGGACAGCCTGGAGCCTGTCACCTCAAAGCTGGCACAGGCAGGGTGACTGTGCACGCACATTATTGTGCAGCCATCAGCACTATCCAACTTCAGGGGTGCTCTCAGCTTGGAGAACTGACAGTCTACCACATACAAACCCCCCACCCCAATCCCTGGCAACCACGCTTCTGCTTGCTGTCTCCAGGAATTGGACTCCTCTAGAAGCCACATGAGCGGAAGTGCACAGTGCTTGTGCCTGGGGGCTGATTTGTTTGCACTTCTAACATCTTCAAGATTCCAGCATGTGGTATGCGCATTTAAATTTCATCTTTAAAGGCCAAATAAATTTCCCTGTAAGTACAGGCTGTGTTTGTTTATCTGCGCATCCATGCTGGGTTGCACAGATTGCTTCTGCTGTTCGGCTACTGTGCGTAATGTAGTTTTGAATATCTCTTTGAATTCCTACTTTCAGGTCTTTTGCATAGAACTGTGTGAGACTAACCCTTTTGCCAAGTTTCCCTTTCTATGGGCTATCTGGAAAGAGACAGAGTATTCTTTTCCTTTTTTTTTTTTTTTTTGGTGGAACCGGGGATTGAACTCAGACCCTTGCGTTTGCCAGTCAAGCGCTTATCCTACTGAGCCATCTCCCCAGCCCGAGACAGAGTATTCTTGAAAGCGTTCTCTTGATGCATTATTAATGCATTTTCTTAAAAACATACGTGAATGTTGGTGGCCACACAAGGCAGGCTGAGCTCCTCAAACCAAGAGAATTCCTGTTTGTGCAGAGAGGTCCCAGCAGTGCCCATCAGGGCTAGGAGGCAGGGTGTCCCCGTGCTAATGTGACTGCGCCCATCTGAATACACATTGTAATTTTATTTAAATGGCAAGCAAAGGTCTAGCATGCACTCGGAAGAGATGTGGGGGCTGCAGACACGCTGTGGGCGCTGATTGCCAGCAGAGCAGTTTTCTAATGCGGGCGACATTTTTACAATCACTGATGTGACCTTGTTGATTTAAACAAGCTCGGAGCTCCCTACACATCTTGCCGTGTGTGCTCCTCCGTTCCATCTAGGGCTCCCGTTCAAGGACCCCTTCCTACGTAGAATGCTTTGCATAGAAGCCCTCCCCCCTGTGCTCCAGCTTTCTTTGGGGGCTGCTTCAGCTGCGTGAGGTGTCAATCACCCAGCCCGCCTGAGAAGCTCACAAACCCCTGACACCAGGGGGGAAGGGAGGCTGCCTAGAAAGAGGAACCAGCGCCCTAGAGGGCTGGGCCCTCCTCTCTCAGCAGATTCTGACAAGGAAGGCAAATCTCTTCATGAAAGCTCAGCGCTGTCTGACTGGATTGAGGCCATTTTAATCCAAATTCATGGTGGAAGGCAGCAACAGAGCAAGCAGTCTTTGGAGACACAGAGAGGAAGAGTCCCCACACTGCGCTGCGCTCGCACACGCGGAGTGCTCTTGCTTACTCCGGTCTTTATCACCTGGGTCGCACCCACCCGGGCAGCGCCTTTGGTTTCTCCGGCGGGCAGGGAAAGAGGAGGGCAGTGGGATATGAACCAGGAGAGGGACAGCAACTAGACGGAGGGCACGGGTCCCCGAGATACTCTCCGCACCCCCTCCCATAGGAACAGTGTGGAGCTGCGCGCTTGCTGGCCACCGTTCTAGGTAGGGGCAGCTGATTTCTTTACAGAAATACAGAAACGTTAGGATTGGTAGCTTTCCAGTATTCCTAACTGGAGAGCACTGAGAAATGTGTAAAAGAAAAAAAAAAAATGATGGATGTGCAGCCGTAGCCAGCTCTTTCTTTCCTTTTCATTCACAGGCAAAGTGCTGGTTGTCTAGGAAACCGCTCACATCTCACAGTAGAGAGGAGGTGGGGAGGTTGCAGGACTGAGCTTTAGCTGGTGAACACAACTGGCTGCGTGTGTGGAAGGCGAAGGCATCTCAACTGAGCAGCCAGTAATTCCACTAGCTGCATCAAGATGGATTATGCGTTAAGAACACAACACTTCCAACATTTACTGTGCATTTATACATAGCCCTCTTTCTAGCAGAATTCCTTGTAACAATGACTCTTTTGTGTAACAGACAAAGGCACCATCATTTGAGATGTCGCCAATGAAAATAATCAGAGAATTGCAAAAGCCAAGCTGGTTTTAATCGTTCAGTGGCTCACTCTTGCTGGCCTCAGCCACACAGTCGTGCATAAAAATAACGCTGAATTTTATTTCATACAGTGGTATTAAACAACTATCTCTGGAAGGGGACGTTTTAAATGTTAGCATATCCTTAAAACTTACCTCATGTAACAGATCAAGAACTGCACCGTCTCCAAATCTTCATGTGTGGTATACAATGCCCCAGACTGAAAAAAACTGTTACAAACAATACAAAATCGCAGGGCCCCCAACTGAGAACACCTTTTCCCCCTTTGGTTTCCAGTAGCTCTTTCTGCAAATTTCATGAAATAAGGTTGATTTTCTTCAAATGCCAATAAACCCCAAGACCTTAGGGGAAAATGTGGCTGTCATCATTTCAACACAAAATCAGGTCCTTGCGAAAAACGGAAACGTGCACCACCATAATCCCCATAGAATGGTTAAGCAGGACGATTCCAAAGGGCTGGGGGCGGGGACAATGCCCAGGAAAGGGAGGCAATCTTGGGCCCAAAAGGCTGGATCTCCACAGCATCTGGGCCTTTGGAAAGGTGACTTCCAGTCTCCTTGATTCCAAACCTCTTCTCCCAAAAGAAGCCCAGAGAAAGGGCTCCATTGATCTATACAATCTTGAACACGCGTTTGCACCCGGCACTCGCCAAGATCTGGCTCTGAAAGAAGCTGAGAAATGAATTCGTGGGGCGAAGGGAGCCGACTAGGATTACCCTGGTGGGCTGAGCCCCACGGCGAGGCGCTGGCCGCCCCTCTCAAGCCCGCCACACTCGCGGGGCAGGTGTCGCTGTCGCCATTAGTCCCGGGGCAGCTGGGTCCCACCGGAGCCTCCACCTCGAGACCAACACCTGCTACGGCCCCTTTAGCCAGGACACCGTGACCTTCCCCAGGGACTTGGGTGTTTGGCAGCAGGGATTCGAGTCTGCGCCTTTTATTTCAACCTGCTGTGTGCCCTTGAGAATTATTTACCCTCAAAGTTTGCGCATTTGTGGGCTCTGGAGTAGGAAATCGGGAGTCAGGGACCTGGACCTCGGAATCCCGCTAATGGAACCAGAGGCAGACCCCCTGCTTAACTCCCATTCCAACCTTAGGCCGGAACCCGCGGAGGCCTGGGGAACTCGGACCCCCAAGATGTCTGCGGATCGCTGGGCTTTTGTTCTCCTTGCTTTTCTTTGTACAGTGGAATTGAGTTAAAAGCCCCCTCCCACCCCCAGTGGGGAAGGGAGGCAATGACAGCTTGCTGATGCTCTGGGCGGGCCTCCTTCGACAGCTGCGAACTCTGTGCCACCGCGGGACCCCGGGACCCTGGGCTTCTCTCCCCAGAGGATGCAAAGAGATGAACTCACCCTGCAAACTACCCGTCCCGGGGAGAGGGGTCGAATCCGGGAACTGCAGGGCGCATTCCTAACCCCTTCCTTTGTCCCGCCTGCAATGCGTGTGGGTTGGGTTCGCTGGACACATGCACACTCACCCACACGGGCGCACACGCCGCAACAAAGAGCTCAGCTCCGTCCTGGAACCCAACAGTGCGGGTCCGAGCGTTCCGCGTCTGCGCACACGCTCGCGTGGCCGTGCAGGGTCGACGTGGACCCTGCCTCGCCCTACTGCAGTTTGGAGGCCACCCACACCCAAGCCGTAACACAAGGTCTGGGACCTCGTGGCCGCAGCGAGGAGATTCAATGCCCGCGGTGGTACAGCGGTGCTTTCGGAACCCGAGCTTTTACTTGTCCACGCAGTGACCGAACATGCAGCAGGGGTGCCTGAGTGTGACTTTCAATTCTTAGCCCCCAGGTCGTCCCACGCCTTTGAGAACCCTTTGTTCCGCCGGCGGCTCCGCCCCCAGGACCCCACCCACCTCCGCCCGCAGCTCGGTCCACGCGTGAGCAGCCACGCCTACCTAGCCCTTGCGGGGAACAAAGGCCTAGCGTGTGGTGGCACTGTCAGGGCGCCCTGGACTCGCGAGGGGTCCGGCCTAGCTGAGGAGGCCGAGGTCGCCCTACCGCTGGCTCTGCGCTGAAGCAGCCAGGGGCTCCAGACAAAGAGGCGAGAGCACGCGGGGCTCCTGGGCCACGGTGTTCAGGACTGTACATGGCCTTGAGGGGTCCGGGTTGCGCCTGACTAGGGCTGGGATCACCTGCCTTCCTTTCCCTAGGGCTCTGTGTGGCGGGCATCGGTAGGCACAGCGCCCGGCCCCGGGGTTGGGGAGGGCGTGGTGAACTCGCCAGGTGCACCGGACTCGGGGACTATATCCTATGGCGGAAGAGGCGGCCATCCCCTGTTCTTCCACCTGCACCACCCTAGCTCCGGGTAGCCTCTCTCCCGACCTGTCCTTCCAGTGCCCCGGCCAGCGCCAGCTCGATCCTCACAGGGTCAAGGGAGTGAGCCGCCTCCACCCTGCGCCCTTCCCCACCTCCCACCGCTCCCCTCCCCCAAGCCCTACACAATACTCACCCTACCTCCGCAGGCCGCCCTCCCCACCCGCCCGCGCTGATTGGTCGCTGGCTCGCGGTCCAGCCCCCCGGACGGTCCCCCGGCCCGGAGCATTACGTCAGCCTGCCCTGGCCACACTAGCGGGCTGGGGACTGGGGGGCTCGAGCTGGGGGCGCGGTCTGCATCGTGCGCCCCTCCCTCTCTCCATAAAAGCCCCGACCCTCGGGCCCGCGGCTCTCAGCCCGTCGGTTCCGAGAGCGTACTAGGCCGTCTCGCGGTGGGCGTGGAGGGAAGGACAGACAGACTCAGGAACGGAGACCCGAGCCAGGGAGACGCGAGCGAGGCACCATGCGCGAGATCGTGCACATCCAGGCGGGCCAGTGCGGCAATCAGATCGGGGCCAAGGTGGGCGCGCCTTCTGGGGTGGGGGAGGGGTGTCGGGCCGGGCGTCCCTGGAGGTCCTGTGCGCGGTGCGACGTGGGCAGGCCGCGCTAGTCAGGTACGGACGGTCCGGATCTCTCTGCGCAGCTGAGGGACGCATGGGATGGGCGTGGAGCGGCTCCGGGGGAGTGTCTCATGCATTGTCGCTGAAACCCCTTTGCAATCCCGCCGGTCCCTTAGTCCTTTTCTTCACGGTTGGACTCTTGGCCAGGGGCGCAGGTATCCGCGAGGCTGTGTGCGCCGGAGTGGGGAGGGACCGGGACGGGAGAATTGATTTTACTTGCTTGAGACCGAGCTGAGCTGCAGCAGAAGGGAGGAGAGCGATTGTCTCGCGGCCGCTGGACGTGCTTGGAATCTAAACCCCGTCCGGCGCCGCCCGCCCCTCCCTGCAGACTGGACACCGGGGTGGGGTTGGGGGGAGGGCGCTGTGTGCAGGCTGTGACCCTGAGGGCGGCTCACCCGCAGTCCCAGGCTTTGGCTAGACTCAACTCCCTAGGACCCCAACTTCCCCGCCTGCAGCTGTTCGTCTGGGCAACGCCCAGTATTCACTTTCTGACCCTGCAGTTTTCAAGCCAGGGTCACGCCGCCCTTGAAGGCACCTGAAGTGTTGGGTTGTCAGAACTGCACGGGGGTTTTTCCTTAGGAACCGCAGCGCCCCTGGGCAGTTGGTGGCTAAATAGCCTTTTTCTGTCTCAGTTTTGGGAGGTCATCAGTGATGAACACGGTATCGACCCCACTGGCAGTTATCATGGAGACAGTGATTTGCAGCTGGAGAGGATCAATGTGTACTACAACGAAGCCACTGGTAATTGCCTTTGCCTCCCAGCCCCGTCCTTTTTGCTTCCCCCCTTTCCCTGGGGCCAGTTTTCACACCCACACACTGGGATGCCCTCCCCTGTGCCAGGCAAGCTTTCTCCAACCGGTCCTTTGGTTTCCTTTGTCTGGGGGCTACATCCCTGCCTCTGAGAAAAAGGGCGGGACCAAGCCCCTCTGTCCAGAGTGCTCTGCCTGCGGGTCTGAGGTAGCTCTCCTTCCCTGCAGGTAACAAATATGTACCTCGGGCCATCCTGGTGGACCTGGAACCCGGCACAATGGACTCAGTCAGGTCTGGACCCTTCGGCCAGATTTTCAGGCCAGACAACTTTGTGTTTGGTGAGTGCATAGCTTTGCTGATCTTAGGAGGAGGTCCTTGCTTAGGCTGGAGAAGGGTGACTGCCCGAGGGCAAGAATGAAGAACTTCCAATTGTGTGCAACTGAGCTTTCAGGCAGGCTTGAAAAATACAAAGCTTTGCCTTTCAGCTTCTGATGGCCAGGAGTTCCAAGCTTCTTTACTTATAATTATATGCATGAGCACATCTTTCTAACATCCTAATGTTTGGTGACAACCAGATAGAATTTTATCTGAGCACTGACTGCTTTATTAAGGGGGTTAAGGTGGAAAGGAACTTAACACAATCATCAGCAATTGAAGAATTTTCTCTCTGCAGGCCAGAGTGGTGCTGGGAACAACTGGGCCAAGGGCCACTACACAGAGGGTGCTGAGCTGGTGGACTCCGTCCTGGACGTGGTGAGGAAGGAGTCGGAAAGCTGTGACTGTCTCCAGGGCTTCCAGCTGACCCATTCTCTGGGGGGCGGCACCGGCTCGGGGATGGGCACCCTGCTCATCAGCAAGATCCGCAAGGAGTACCCCGACCGCATCATGAACACCTTCAGCGTCATGCCCTCGCCCAAGGTGTCTGACACCGTGGTGGAGCCCTACAACGCCACCCTCTCAGTGCACCAGC